ACTTAAAATTTCAAATGTATATTCCAGTTGTATTTAAAAGTACAATTACAAAGATAAAATAATAAAAATAGAAATAGAAAATGCAGAAAAGAACAAAATAGAAAAATGGAAAAGAGGGAAAAAATAAGAATAAAGGAAAACAAATATATAAAATGATTTCCGCCTTCATCACAACAAATATAAACTATCTATTTATAAACAGCTCCTTAAAGCCTTCTTGTTCAGTCCTGATCCGTATACCGTCATTAAGGATTAGCAGATACCAAATACCAAATACATATCTTAACCTTGCTTAAATAAACCAACTTTAAATTCCTTCCTTTTATTTTTAAGTCTTTCATCCCTTCAAATAATATTCTAGAATTTGATTTCTTTTCATTTTATTTTGTCCTTTCTTACAAAATTCTTCAAAACTTTAACAAGCTCCTTTTGTAAACCCAATGTAAGAGTGTTATCCAGCTCACTTATATGGTTTGTTGTTTGCATCTTCCTTTTAATTATGAAGACATGAGCCGGCTTCATTTGTATGTCCATTGTGGCATTTTAAAATCCAATTATAGATCAATCTTGGTCTTTTCTAGTAAAACTTGTTCATCTTCCATAACATATTTTAGACACAGTCCTTCTATAAAAGCAGACACTCTTAAAATTAACTTCTGGTTCCATTGTTCAAAACTATCTTCCAGTATGTTCAGTGTTAAAATATTTTGCTCCATTTTGCTCTTATTTAAGTGTTTTTCTCCTTTAATTGCAATATTTAGTTCATTCTGGTTCCTTCTACTGTTCAACCTTCAAAGTCTCATCCTATCATATTTTAAGAGAATTTAGAACAAAAGCATTTTCCCATGGGAAAGTTTCCTATAATTAATACAAAATCTTATTTCAAGACCATCTGGGCTGTTAGTTTGTAACTTTCCAAAATCAAAGTTCTAATCATCCTTTTGCTGTTTATTTGAAAAGAAAAAAAATTAAAATTTTCAACTTGTATTTAAAAGTTATTTTGCTAAGGATTGAAGGAAACTTGCCTGGTTCTGTAAAATTTATCAATCCAAAGTTTCCTCATATCTGAAAAACAATGAATAAGCAATCACCGACAGTGATTGGAAAGGGAAGTATATAAACCCAGTGTCAGTTTGAGGAATAAAATAACTATTCTCTCATCTCCCAGATCCCTAAACCTGCTGGTAATTCCTTTCTTGCAGTCTCCCTGTGAGAAGCAACTGCCTGGAGCACTTCCAGGCTATTTCAAGTAGTATACTTGTCTGGAGAGGAGTTAAGAGCTGATCTATTCATCAGTCTACTCTTCATTCTGCTGTGGCTATCAGCTTTACTTTTAGCAGATCCATCTTAACTTCACCATTTCTTCCCCTAAAGTCTAATTTCCAAATGTATATTCTAATTTATCCTGAATACTGAGATCACTCTCTCTCTCTCTCTCACACACACACACACACACACTTTTATTTGGGCCGGTTTTTATTACTTAAGCTAGTAGATATTATATAAATGAACTGATATGTAATCTAACAAACTTGATGTTGAAATGGCTCCCTGAAATTAATGAGAAGTGCATTTGTATGAACTTTGAGTGTATGCTAAATCTCCTTTTGTTTAAAAAAAAATGTCCAGTTCCTTGGTCTAGAAGCCATGATTGAAGCAAAGTAAACATATTTCTAGAACATCCTGCACCCCCCTGCCCACAACCACAGGCTTTTTCTTAAGAGCCTGAAGACCTGGCTTTGCCAGTTGACCTGGGGATCCAATGGGGGAATACCACACTGGAGATGACTAATAAAAGACCTCACCTCACCCCATGCAGCCTGCTCTTCCCCTGCCTATCTTTCAATCATATTGCTGTAATTTAATTATTTTTATTTTTTGTTGTTTTACTATTGTTAAATTTACATTTTTATAATTTTATGTTTTTACTGCTGCAAGTAACCTAGATTAGCCCCAAAGTAAAATGGACAGCACATAAATTTAATAAATAATAATTTCTGATTGCAGAATTAGGCCATATACAAACTTTCATAGTTGTGCTTACTAAGAAAGGCTATGCAAGGTCACAGATGGTCTTTTTTCTTTGTAATGGTCAGAGGGAAGGATAAATGTTAGTGTGCATCTCAACACAGAAAATGTAATTGTTTTACTATGATATAATGATAGATCAATGCAAATGAATTCTATCACATTGCTCTAATTTGCAGAAAAAGGTATTACTAATATTCACCAATTTCCAGAAGGCTGAAGCAGAAATATGAGAAGTTGCCTCTGCCTGTCCCATATATCTCCTAAGTTATCTGTCATCCAGAGAAGTGGGGGAGAATCAATTTTAACTAATATGCAAGGTGTGGTTTGTAAGGTAAACCAAGATTTGTGAAGTTTTGGCAATGGTATTTTGTTGATTCCCCATCTTCCCATGAAGTCACAAGAGCCTTGCAATAATAATGAAATACATGTACATCAAATCTCCATCTATCCTTTCTCCCATTTTTTTTTATTTTAGAAACATTTATTTTGTTTCTTTGTCCTTTTCATAATTTTATTTTGCCCATTAGCTATCTCTGTACCATAACTTCCTTTCATCTTCTGATAATCTTTTCATAATATATTGCTTCATATAATTTATTTCTGTAAGTCTTTCCACCTGCCAAAATCCTTTTGTCTAGGATTATAGTAGCTTTCCCAATGGCATTGAGAGATTTCTGTCTGCTCTTTCTTTGACATTACCAGAGCCTCCAGCCTTTACAAGATGGAGCTTGTCAGAACTATGACGTCTTAATATTGTTTATTTTATAAACAAAAAAACCTAGGTTTATGCTAGATTAGAATAATATGTTTGGGTTAATTTAAGGAATTTAAAATGCAACCATGATAAATGACCTGTGTTCTTTATTCTTATTATTTGCTTGAAAGCCAAAAGCAAGGAATTTAATCATTTTAACATTTCTTTTCATAATTATGACTAATAGTTAAATTATATTAATTGGTAAGAATTATGTTATTTAGTAATGATTAAGACACTTTTTAGATAATTTTGAGTTTCTCTATTTTAAATTTAGTATGTGATGTTTTCATGCACTGAATATTTTGGGAATTTAAGGTGTTCATTGACAGTTGAAGAGATGTTGGTAAATTATCTTTATGTTGGTGATTGCCTGACTTCTGGATAGAAAATGAAAAAAAGCTGTCATAGAATGTTCATAAATACATTGGTATTTATGAATCTGAATTGTATTTTGAAGTATTTGAAAATATTTCCAAATTTGGGAAATTCTTAGTAACATACACATAAAGAACAACATAAAGAACAGAGAATTTCAGAATGTAAGGATATTCATTTTGAAAAAATAATTATAAACCTCAAATGTATGAAAATAGCCCCTCCAACTCATGTGAAACCAATGGAAAAACATAATAGAGACAAACTTAATTTACATGTAGTAGTAAGTATGTTGTTTACTTGCAAAAAGTTGAGATGAAACAATTAGATGAACAAGCGAAGAAAAGGTTTTCTTCGCTTGTTCATCTAATCTAGGAAACCATCTAAGAAGCCATATAAATTATACAATCAAGGAAAAAAATTATAAATAATAAAAAACAGGTAAATAACATAGCATTTACAAATATGATAAAGCTATGATTTTCCATGTTCGTAAGAAATTTATTCAATGGTTAAATTATTAATCCTCAAAAATCAGTTGATGCAGAATACAAATATTAGGATTACCAAGCAATGCAGTATACATCATAGAATAAAATTATGAGATAATGAATTATGATATTTTTAAAAGAAAAATTTTAAAGCAAAATGTTTAAATGTTCCTGTTGTAAATTAGTGGCAAGAGCTGTACAGCCCCCTGTTGGTTGATCAAATTTGGGTGGGGGAATAAACATAAATTGAGCAATGTACACACATATGAGCTAATTCATACAGTGTTCGTGCCAATAATTGATATGTTTCTAATTGAGGTTGATTTTAGCCAAATAATTTAGAAAGAACAGTATTAGAAAGTTAAATTTAACTAAATAAAAACACTTGATATATTATCTAGGAATAGTGTATAAATAACACAATTGCCCTGTTCCTCCAGAAGAATCAGTGCTTGACTTGCACAAATCTTTCTCCACTCAAACAGGAGGTGAAACAGAACCAAGATCTGTTAATAGTCCCACGTTTATGACTAAGATCTGGGGCTGCAGGTATTCCGAAGGCAAAAGGCCTTTTCCTCGATTATTCTTATGGATCCACAACCCTGTAACCTTCAAAAATATTGCCATGGGCTTCCAATGGGTTTTCCTTACTTCCTGGGGATAAACCCTTCGTTATAGCAATATTCTGGATAGTTTCAGGTTTTTTTGTTTCATCTCAGCTCCTTTAAATTTTTGTAAAATTCCAACTCTGATTCTGTATTTGCAGTGCTGATAGATCTGTGTCAATAATTCTCAAGAGAATTAAGCATTTATATTAATCCTGTTCTTTAATCCATTTTGCATTTTCTGCACCAGCTCAAAACACTTTTATTAGGGCTACTATATTTGGTCTGCAGAAATCTGGAGGACCTGGCAAGAGAGTCTTGGACGGGTGGTCCTTTTTGTTTTCTTTTTTGTGGCCCTAAGCTATTTGTTGGTTATCCTGATTTCTGCAGCCAGAAATGGTAGCCTAACGTAATATAACCTAGATCGATGCCAATGCTACAGGATCAGAAAGGCAAATGCTACGGGATCAGATAATCAGTTTGTGATCATCACGTATCTTTAAGGCTGTTTGTTGTCTGAGTAGCGCAGAAACCCGAACCCGCCAGGCACGGATCTCGAGCCTTAAATTTGCGATTCTTCCACAGTCCCCAATCAAAGGAGTTCTCCAAGGCGCCCATTGGGAAGAACGGACTCCTGCAATTTCAGACTGTCGGAGAAAATAATTCTTAACGCTCAAAGAATTAAGTACTTTGAGAGATGCATAGTCGCTTAAAAAAAAAAAAAGGAACAACCCAAGCATCCATCTTTATCAGATATTTAATTTGTTGTCCTTTTTATAATTTGACACTTTTGCTCTGCCACAAAAGACCAATTTTATTTTGCCTTCCAAAGCTTTCCCCGTTCCGGCTGCTCTTTATGCAATAGGTGCTGCTGGGATGCAGTCCTTCAGTGCGATAGCTTATCTTGGGGTCGGGGGCTCCGCCAGTCTCTGCACACATCTGAAAGAAGCGGGGAGGTTCGTTTGGGGGAGACGAAAAAGCGCGAGCGGCTTTGGCCGTGCTCAGAACTCCGTCCTCTTACGGCAGTCCGAGGAAATGGGGAGCAGGAGGCGCCCCGTGGCTTGGCAAGGGTTAAGCGATGCCAACCCCGCCCCCTCCCCTGCTTGGATGTAAACAGAGGAGCCTCAGCCTATCATGTCTGATTGCTGTTCGGTGCCTGAAGAGAAAGCCAGGCTCTGTAACATGATACATTATAGACTGATTCAACTTGGAAGGGCTGCGCTCAGCTCGTCACATCCAGAAGGCGGAATCACCACGGAAAGGTGGGTGACTGAAAAGCTACCCTTCTTTGACCTTACAGCCGAGCCGGGATAAAGTGCGAATACTTACTTCGAGAAGATCCACTTAAAACATTCAAAAACAGAAGCGCTAGTGCTGCTGTAGGTAAATGTGCGGATTTTTCTCCCCTTCTCCTTTTATGTATGTTTGTTCCGATGCGGTGTTACAGAATGGGAGGAGGAGGCTGCTCTTCTCTTGGAATCGGTGCAGAGGCAATATTAGCGTTGGAAATGAGGTGGCTTGTTAACCCCTGAAGAGCTAGATGGAGATCTAGCAAAGGCGAAGCTTAACTTTACCTATTTCTCAACGTGCTAATGCTCTTACGAAAAGCTCTCCGGTTACTTAAGCGGCTCTTCTTTTCGTACAGGACTTTAACATTCAAAGAATTCGTGAACGGGTGTGTTGATTAAAAAAAACCCGCAAATTATTGCATTCAAATCTTAGAATAGGAAATCTAGTCTTCACCGCTTTCTGATTTAGCCAAAATTGGGTTGAGTTCCTTAGGCTTTTGGACTTGATTAGTGCGAACGTATATCGGCATTCTCAAAGGGTAGTAAATATTTCTAATAAAGGAATCGGCTGCCTGTAAAAATAACGGACCTCACCGTACAGCACTGTTTAGCATACTGCTGTTTGTTTTTTTTAAAAAAAACTGTAATAAAGAGAAAAAGTAATTAAATATATAAATCCAACTTTATAAACGCAAATACAGTGTACTTCTATATAATATCTGAAAATGTTGATTTAGAAATAATTATTAAGTATTGCCAGGAAATCTAGGACATTTATTATGCTACTTGAAAGGGGGAGAAGCATGTCGTATTTTCCACTCCACACTTGCAAATCCAATGTTCTTATTTATAATTCTCTTTTCTTTTTTCTCATAACAGACATGGAATATGCAGACTATGTGATCCTGTCACAAAGTCATTCTGTTTATAAAGCTTAATATAATTTCATTCATTGCCCCAAAATTGTGTAGCTGTAGACTTGATCCCTTTCCACTGAAGTGGAAATACTTTCAGTAATTGAAAACAGATTCATGTCTGGAATTGTATAAACCACAGTTCTTGTTTTCAAAAATAAATCTTTTGTTCTCCAATTCTGAATGTTTGACTAAAGCGTTAAAAATTCATTGTTTTGTACAATCTTTATGAAATGAAAAATATTTAAAAGAAAACATAAGAATTCATCTGATTTTGAACAGCCATTCAGTAATCATAAAATATGTATTGATTTTTTTTTAAAAAAAACTTATATTAACATCTCATGTTATGTGCATTTAAAGGAGTACTTTTAATACATTTTATCATTCCCCCAATGCAAATGGAAGTACATACTGATTTAAAAGTGGGGAACCTTTAGAGGATTTGATGGGATACTGATCTACTTCACTACAGACGTAGACAGCTGCTCTTAATTAACTTTGCTTCAGTTTCCTGGGCATCATTCTTGAAAACTACTCTTTCCAAGATGTTTTTTAGTTAGTTCAAGAATAGTTCAGTTTAAACTTTGTGGGCCTTCAGGCAAAAACTAATCCCTGCAAACTAACCTGTTCAGGAATTTGAAAAGCAGAGAACAATAGACTTACTTTACTGCAGAAGTAGAAAGAAACAAAATAAATGAATAAAATTATGTACGAAAAGTTGCTAGTTGGAATATTCTGTACATAGCATATTATACATAGTGTATTCTTTATGCTTATTGTATCATGGAATGAATCACTATTACTTTTTTATATATAATAATGCAAAAAGGTGTGTGCACATTTTTGCATTATTATACATAACTGCTAACGCTTCTAAATACTATTTGATGGCCTACTGAATAGTTGATTTTGAAATTACTGTGCAGAAATAGCACAATGTATAGAAGCACATTTAGATGGACGTTTTTTTCCTTCATTTTAATATATCTAAACATTCATGTTAATGAAATAATTCATATATCTATTTTATGCATTTTCCTTGTTGCAAATATTTCTAGAGAAAAGTACCAGTTAATCCAAATTATTTGTAATCAGGAATAGGAGAAAACAGCTTGTTTAGACATTTCATTTCATTTTATCTATATCTTTATCTTTTTATCTATACATATAATAAATATGGTGGAAGTTTGCGTTCCCTTCCACAGAATGCTGAAGAAGCAGATTCAAAAAAGTGGGATCTAAAATGAATGCATTTTACACATTGTGATAATAGCTGTCTAAATACAATGATCTGGATAATTAATGCCACATGACATATTGCATGCTTCACTCAGGTATTCATTCCTCTATAGAAGAGAATGGTTGCTAAGTATCCATCACCACTGGAAGTAATATAAAAGGACAGAATTTTAGATCCATATTTTTGCATTTGTTACTGTGCAATTAGTAGAGGAAAGGTTTCAGAATTAAGAATTACATTTTGAAATACAACTTGGTAACTCGTACTTTTAAGTAATATTTCTACAAACATATATGCTGGATAGTGAAACAGAATATGGCCATTTTTAATAGGAACTTTGTTTTTCCCATACTATAACAAAGTGTTAATGTGAGAGAGCACAATCTACTGTAAAGATTTTCAGTTGACCTGCTTAAATCACACTGAAAAGAATGAATAGAACAACAGCAGACCTTAGTAAGCAGAACCCTATTTGAAAAGCCTATAAGCCTATATATTTTATTTTAGATTGGTTAGAAATAAAAATTATTATTTTTATATTGTTAACTCTTGAAGTCATATGTTGATAATATTAATCAAAATAGTTTCTTTCCAGATCTTTTTTATTCTAAATCCTGAAAACTGGAATTTGAAATGTTTAAAAATCACTATTTAGATTGATTAATCTTCTAAATATCATTGTTTATTAAAACTTAAATACGTAAAGTTACACTAAATCTTTTTCTGTTGGGGAAATCTCGAGACATTCATATATTAGAAGTACATCCCCATTTTTTTGTATATGCATTCTGTTCAGAGCTGTAATTGCAGAGCTAAAGAGAAATATGTGTTGCATACACATGTACATATAAAATCCTTTAGAATTGTTGGAGAACCAATTTTATATTTTGAATTCTGTAGTTTGAAAGTCTGTGTACCTTCAAAAGTATCCAAGAAAGGATGGATGGGTGTGTGTGTGTATATGCATTATAGGTATATGTATGTACATATATATTTTATACACATGCGCACAAATATAAATTTACAATCAGACATCATGGGAAGCCATATTTCATATTGAATATCCAAGATGGAGAAGCAAATTTAAAATAGTTTGATAGGGTCATGTGAAATCAAATGGAATAAAGCCCACTACTAAATATAAATTAATTTTGTGGATTCTAAATAAATTTATAAGTATAAAGCTGCATGGATTTTAATGGATTTGATTTCCATACCAAATGCCTTTAGGATTAGATAGTAGTTGGTGCATGTGATTTCGTTTTACTATATTTATAGAATAAGCGGCAAGTAACAAATTCCTTTAAGAAAATTATATTTGGACTCCTCATTAGCTTCACTTTTTAATGCTTTATAATTGTAAATAATTATAGTATTTTTATTTAACATCTGTAAAGAAATAACAGAGTTAGTATAACTACCACTTGTGTATGAGTGAGCGCAACAAACATCACAGAACAGTAGAAACTGCTTCTCAAAATTTTCTTGAGTTTCAAAATTATTTTTGAGCAATAGAAAATTAGAATAAGAAAAGGAAATAATTTGGATACTATTCCGAAAATCACTTGATTATGGACCAGTTTGAATATAAACTTGGGCTTGCTTTGTTTTGGAAAACAAGAGAAATATGTTTTACTAAATATAACAGATTTTTATTTCTGTTTTTATATCATTTTCTAATACTTGTTCTTGATTCTACTGATTTTCAACTAAGCTGCTTTTTATGTTTATTGATTTTCTTTTTAGACTTTTCTCTCAAACTATAACTTACAATACGTTCAACATATTTTAGGCCCAGGTTCTGTTGACTATGATTAGCTGTGCAGTTCTCAGGTTTTTGGCTATAATTCCTGAAGTGTAAACTAAGAAACAGGATTTGGTAAAACTTTTGAGGTAATTTTGATTATTTTTTAAATATATTATAGCCCTCTTAAAAACATATATTTAGTCAAAAGGCATAGTGGAATTAAAAAAAAATGGGTAAAAGTCTCACCTAACTATAAATATATATAATGTTTTCTTTTTTTCTTTTTAGTTTGTAGATTAGATGTGAACCTATTAAAGAATTAGGATGTGCTTCAAAATAAGCTTAGAATGTGCTGCTTTATATAGTTTACATTAAATTCTTGAACAGTTGTTAATTTTTATACTATACTATTAGTGTACCTCAAATTAAGTAGTATTTTATACTGCTATTTCTAATGTTCTAATTTTTATTGAACATATTCACTTTTAGTCATAAACCATTCTTTCCTGGGAACTGTAAAATGTACCTGAGAGCATTTTTAATAGTTCTTTTTAAGTAAAACGAAAGTAAGTATTAATTTTGTTGGTTAAATGTTATACTGTCCATTATTGCAAAACACACAACAATGTGCCCTGAAAAGTTTGTCTTTCAGTTTTTGTGATAATAAAGCTAGCTAGCATATCTCATTAATTCTGAAAGACCAAAGTGGTTAAACAAGTTGTTTAAATTTATGATGACACTCAATGCAAATGCAAATGAGGTAAATAAATAAATAAGCAGAAGAATGATTGGTGAAGATAAACTTGGTATGGCTTTTTATTGTAGTTTCATTAGGCCTGTGTCATAGAATTCAACCTGTCATAGAATTCAACTTGTTGTTTTAGTTTTTTATTTCTCTTGGTCATACTTAATTAATAAGTTGAAAATAGAAGTAAATATTTTCTTTCTATGCTTTATTACTCGAAAAATGATTTTCTTTAACTTTTCAAACTGAGACCAGTTGATCAGTTTATATCTGCTCTAAAGATAACAATTCATTATCATATACTTACTGCCATTTTTCATATATGGAAAAGATAAGGAGAACATTAGCTGTTTTGGTTGCCCATGTAAGATTTTCATCTACAAATATGAAAGTATGGTTACTTGGAGATTATTCAAGTTAATATTGAATCAGTATTAAAATGTGGCTGTTCCTATTTAATAATATTTAAAAGCAATATTTAAAAACAGATTGTATTTGCACTTCTAGGCATGTACGTTATAAATTCTGGCACTTTAATTGAAACTTAAACA